CGGTACGTAACGTTAACGTTTAACGTTAACGGTTAACGGGTAACGGGTAGGGTCGGGTCGTCCGTCCACCGCTCTACACACACACACACACACACACACACACACACACACACACACACACACACACACACACACACACACACGTCTGTGGCCTTAGGCCCTTGGTGTGTAGAACGGGGAGTCTGCCCCCTATAGGTTGTTAACACATGGGAATCTTACTCTTTTCAGGAGAGCAGACAATTGCTAGGATACTATGGGAATCAGCACCGTAAACCCTGCTGAAACAGGGCTGCCTGGTTATAAGGAAGTAGAATATACATTTGCTGACAAGAAGAAAATGTGCCTTCAGACCCCAGCCCCACCGCCCCACGTCCTGTTGCGTGGGATCTCTAGGGTGGGACTTGATCTAACCTGACCACAGGCTGTGCACAGATTGCCTTGTCCTGAGTGTGCCCTCTCCCGTAACCTCTTTTCCTTCTTGGATTTTAATTTTTTTATATGAGAACAAAGCAAATCTCCATAATCTACCACTTTCTGGGGTGTGTGCGTGTTGTTACAGAACAGTGATTCTCCAACTTGACTGCACATTGGGATCACCAGGTCTCACCCTCAGATTCTGATTTAATTGATCTGGGTGCCACCCTGGGGTTTTAAGAGCTTCCCAAGTGATGCTATTAGGCAGCCAAGTTGGAGAATCTTTGTCAAGGAAATTTAAAATCTCTCTTCCTGAAGGAAGGAAGGAAGCCTCTGCAGATAAAGAGAAAAATGAGTTTGAGAAGGTTTGTAGGCTACAAGGTCAGTGTAGAAACCTTCCCCTCTCCCACAGCTGAAAGGCTGGGCGTGGATCCTTCCCGGTTTTTCCATGGGGTTATGTGGACACAGACATCGTGGGCATAACACACCCATGGGGGTCTACAGTTAGTATTTTCTGTGTCACGGCAGTTTTCCCATGTCAGTACACGAGGTCAGCTTCCTTCTCCCAAACTGGGATGTCCATGGGTGACAATATATTTAACAGCAGTTCTTCTGAATTTTGTTTCCAGTGATGCCCCAGTGAGGATTCTTATGTAGACTTCTGCCTGTGGTTTTTTGTTTTTGTTTTTGTTTTTTTCCAGAAAAGAATCCAGGTGTGGGATTTTTGGGTCATAGGGATATGGTCACAAAGTTTTGAGGGGAGTACAGACTTCTCCTTTCCTTGGCCTATGCAGTGCCTCATCTGCAGGCACCTGTTAAAGTGGGTTCAAGATTTAACGTGGAGTAGAACCTGGGTTCAGCCCCTTGGCTGTGCGACCTAGGACGGTAACACATATTCCAAGCCAGGCGGCTGAGGATTGTGTGCTGCGTGGAAAAGGATCTAGGGAAGATCCGCTTTTGAATCAGAAGCTCTAAGGTAGCATCACCGAAGCTTTCTACCTGGAGTCTTCCGAGCCCTGGCAGCGCTGCTTGGCTTTACTTTGTCTTTTGCAATCCCATTGCTTCATCTTCAATATTAGCGAGAAGGTTGGTTTACCTTTAAAAGCGGGGGACTTCTGGCAGGTGACCCTTCCCCACACCTCCCTCCACTCCCTTATTTTGGGGCAGAATGCTTTTCCTAGACTCTTTCACAAGCTGCCTTGTGCTTGTGAATCCTCTGGTGGTCTTTTTTTTTAAGTTATTGATTAATTAGTTAATTAATTTTTAATGGAGGTACTGGGGATTGAACCCAGGATCTCGTGCATGCTAAGCATGCCCTTTACCACTGAGCTATCCCGACCCCACCTCTGGTGGTCCTGTTAAATGGCAGCTTGTGGTTCAATAGGTCTGGGGTGGAGCTGAGATACACTATTTCTAGCTGGTTCTCAGGTGGTGCTCAGTGCTTCTCATCCATAGACTGCACTTTGAAAAGTAAATTCTCCAGGACTTTTTTTTTTGCGGTGGTTTCCAGCCTCGCCTGAACATTAGAACCCCCTGAGGAACTGTATGCTCTGGTTTTTCCAGAGAACACTGATAGAAGTAAATTAAACTAGTAAGAGCTGTGAACGCTTTTGCATTTATCTCTGCAACAAAGTGCAGACCAAATTAAGAAGTACTTCACCATACCAGGGGAGGATTTTTGGTTTTAAGAAGACTGATAATTTTTGCAGACAGAACAAAATTTACTGCCATAGGAGGCACTGAATACAAGTGTGTATTCTAGAATAAGTTCGTTACATGCCGCCGTTGAGAAAGCTAAGCCTTACTATATCTCTCAACTTTGCAAGCACTTAATACATATCTCAGCTCATCTTATTCCAGCCATCCTTTACGAGGCGTGGCCCCATCTCTATGGTGACGAAAACTACATTTCCTCTTCGCTTTATGTATCTACCACTTTCTTCCAGGCCCTCATTTCTCCTTGCCTGGATGTAACTTAGTCTCCAGGTTCCTTTTTTCTTGAGACACTGTTAGTCCCACTTCCGGAATAAGCTGGAAACACAGTTGAGTGTGTGCGCCTTGCAGAACTAAGCTGGTTCTCTGTTGTCTACAGGATAAAGTCCAGACTCTGCAATGGGGTGCAGGAGCCTCATCGAGCCTATTAAGTGGCTTGATTCCCAAACATTACTCGTATCTCCATGCCACTGTGTGGTCCCTCGCCTTGCAGCATCCCCATCGTTTTAAATATCTTATTCACCCTTTGTTCTGACTCTCTTGCTATGTAACTGCTTTTGATAGACTCCTGATTTAGGGGGGTGTATGCAAGGGACACATACACATGGATTCCGAGGGTGTTTAAAAATGCTCCAGTGCTGCCTGAATAGATAAGTGTTCTGGGAGTTTAGAGAACTAAAACACTAAACATAACTAGTCCCTTGGGAGAACATAGGGAGAATTTGGCATCAAGAAGTGATGCAGGAATGGCTTTGGGTTCAAGAGAAAGCTCAGCATGTTTCTAGGGAGGGTGCGTGGGTGAGGAGTAGACGGGCGGTGTCTTCCTGCCCTCCCCTCTCCGTGGATCACCTGGAGTCGTGGGTGTGCGCAGAGGGAGAGATGCTCCTT